TACCACAGTCTGTTTTTGCGTCTAGCCATTCTCCTAAAAAATCATAAAAGGTGAAAGAATTGCTCTTCTTGACTATTCGCTTAACAAGTATTTCCTTTAGAATGATTTCTTTAAATAAATACATTTGTTTTTTAAGAAGAAATGGTAGAATTCAGCATAGTATGATTCTAGCTGACTCCCACAAAAAGCAGCGTTTACAGAGATGTCAATTCCATTTGTCTTCTCTCATCTGTCCAAATATTATTCACAACGAGAAATTTTGTTTTACAGGCAGTACATAGTAAATTCTATAAGAAAGCCAATATTGTTAAAATAAATGGCCCTATTTACCAAACGGCTGAAAGTCTGTACCTGCTGGATTTTTCCCCTGTTCCATTCTATTATGTTGTCTGCACAATATTTCTTTGTATGTCAGCTCATCATCTGCTTCACTGGTTTTGTAATTGCAAACTGTAAAGACTGTTCCACCTTTTTCTTCCCAACCAAGGATCTTGTCTAGCAGGGTCCATGAGAATGTATTCATCTCACTGAGGTATCCACCATTTCTCTGAGTAAGCAATACAGCTGTCTTGGAGAGAATACATAAATTTCTAAAACCAAGTTGCTTTTGCTGTCTATGGGAAGCGAACTGATCTGCAGGCTCATGAAATACGTTAGTTTTCAACCAGCTTTTCTTTCAGGTTTTTCATTTGGATGCCACCGTCTGTCATACAAACAGTTTCATTCTATAACTTCTGTTGTGTTGCTGAACAGAGAAAATTGGCTATGCAGGAAACGGAGCCAGATTTCACCCAAGAGGTGATTCAAATACCGGTACATAAAAATCACCTTTGCAAATTTCTTCATTAAATTTGCAGTCCTGGTGTTTTTTCACCATCAGCACAAATTTGAGGCTTTTTGTCTGAATACAATTATCAACATTGGAGGCAAAACTGACAGTTTTAAAGAGAAGAATCTATCTAGTTTGATCTCTACTTGGAAACCACTTCTGGGCTTTGTATTCCAAACTGAAAAAAATGAAACTCTTGATTTTAGGTTTCGAAAACTGGAATGATTCTGTTGTGACAGAAATGGTTTGGAAGATTTAGAAATGTAATGAAAAGACTGAAGTTATAACTTTTTTTGTATTCTATAGCACCGAAAATGTCAGAAGTCACACTCTGTTTTCTTCTTCCTTTCTTTCTGAAGCTGTCTTAACTTTCATATCTTCTGTTTCTGATTGTATTTTATGTTATACAAGAAGCAGAGGTGGGAATCAGCCGGTTCGGACCGGTTCAGGTGAACCGGATGTTAATTTTAATCTGGTTCACTGAACCAGTAGTTGCAAGGACTGGCTGACCCTACCCCTCCCAGGAATCTCCACACTTTGGATAGTAGTAGCCAGGTAAGTGCAGGCCCCGCACAGAGGCTCTGGGAGGGCAAAAAACAGGCCTACTGGAAGTACCGGAAGTCTGGAAATAGGCCTGTTTCTGGCCTCCGGACCCCAGGGGAGGCCGTTTTTGCCCTCCTGGAGGCTCAAGAAAAGCCTCCGGAGCCTGGGGAGGGTGAAAAACGGGCCTACCGGAAGTACTGAAAGTCTGGAAATGGGCCCGTTTCTGGTCTCCGGAGCCTGGGGAGGACATTTTCGCCCTCCCAGAGACTTGAGAAAAGCCTCCGGAACCTGGGGAGGGCGAAAACGCCCCCCCCCGCCGTGATGCAGGAAGCTGACTAGGCCACACCCCATGGCCACACCCACAAAGCAATCAGGCAAAGAACCGGTTGCTAAAATTTTTCAATCCCACCCGTTAGAGATAGCCCCCGATTTACAACCACAATTGAGCCCAACATTTCTGTTGTTAAGTGAAACATTTGTTAAGTGAGTTTTGCCCCACTTTATGACTTTTCTTGCCACAATTAAGTGAATCACTGAAGTCATGAAGTTAGTAACAAAGTTAAGAGAATCTAGATTCCCCATTGATTTCGCTTTGTCAGAAGGTAACAGGTGATCACGTGACCCCAGGACCTTATAAATCAATTCCCAAGCATCTGAATTTTGATCATGTGACCATGAGGATGCTACAAGGGTCATAAGTATGAAAAACAGTCATAAATCACTTTTTTTCAATCCCATTGTAACTTCGAATAGTCACTAAATGAACTGTTGTAAGTCGAGGACTACCTGTAATTAAATTTAATCAAGTATTTAAAAACCATCAACATTTGACTTGCCACTGTAAATAATATGTTTGGTAGGTCTCCATTGAATGAATGGACCTAGGAAGATCTTACTTTTTGCTTAACAAACTGCACTGCAGAGTGTTTTGGTTATGGAGTACCAATGAAAACACACATTTGAGAAGTACAAATTTAAGGGGGGGAAAAGTTGTACCAATATTCTGAATTCAGTGTATTCTTGACTACAGTTTAAACATTTAAACCATTTTGCCCAGATAGGTATCTATCAAGAAAGTTCAATTTCCTGATGCAGGTTCTAAGATATTACAGTGCCTGAAAAGATGCATGGGTTGTGAACACGGAAATGATTGCTACTCAGGACATTTGGCATTCACACAAGGCTAGACTTCTGCAATTTCTGTTGTTGCCACTTGATGGCTAGGTCAGGTTTGTGGGAATTGGAATATGTTTCTGGTTAGTTAGGGGATGTGCCTGGTTCCTAAACTACTGGTAACTTTAGTAGACTAGAACTAGAATGTCTAATCATCCTTAGAGTAACAGAGCTTTATCATCCGACTACTTTATTTTGGTATTCAACATCACTGTGGGAACTCAGTATTGGATCAGGTGGATCTTTGATCCAATCAAGCAAACCTCTTATTTATTAGGAAGATGTAACACTCGGGAGTCAAAGCAAAAAAAAAAAAACAGTGTTCTGGAGTAAGCCTGTAAGTGCATGTCTCACCTGTCAGTGCCAAGAAAAAATACATGCATGAGTTAAAAAAGGCATCAACAGGATACAATATGCTGGGGAAGGGAAGGACACCATTGGCACTTATCTTAAAATGCATGTTTTCTTGGTTCTGCATAACCACCAGACTGTGGATCATCTTTGCTTTGGTTCAAAAGTCATGCTTATTCCAATATATTCTAAGTTTTTCTAGGTCAACCATGATACTTGACTTCCAGTATAAGAATATGCAACATGTTGGTTCCAAATATTGAATTTCTTCTTCCATCAGTCCTAACAAGCGTAGCCAATGATGATAGAATTTGAAATTCAACATTTGGTCAATAAATTACCACCAATTCTAATGTTAACAGCAGCTCTTGTATTTTCATCCAACTTTATTAAAACGAGTGTCAACACAATGTGGTGGCTAATATATTCAGTCGGCACTGGGGAGACCCTGGTTCAAATCCACCCTCTGTTATTATAGGTAAACTTGGGCCTATCATTATCTCCGAGCCACCTTTTGGCAGGGTTTACATGTGAAGGGGTACAGGTCTTCTCTTATACTTAAATAGAAGTGGATGTAAAAGTGCATTCAGACACTGTTAAAAAAAAATACTACCGTATATGAAATTACTTTCCCAAATTGCATACACATAGGTTAATCTGCATCCCGTTCATAATTTAGTCAACATAATTTCTCCCGCTACTTTCAACGAAGTATTTTCCAAAACAGGGGCACAAGGCAGCAACCAAGGAGCCCACCAAAACTTTTCAACCAAGGAAGCAAAAAGATCTGAAAGGTAGGAAAACATGCAAACAGCAGGGAAAAATTAGGAAGATTAAAAAAAATCCCTCCAATCTAACCTGTTGGGGGCAATATATGCTGACTCTGTAAACCACTTAGAGAGGGCTGCAAAGCCCTGTGAAGCGGTATATAAGTCTAAGTACTATTGCTTGGGAAGGAAGGTAGGTAGGTAGGTTGGTGCACTGGTTAAAGTACATATTACAGGCTAATTCTGCTGACTGCCAGCAGTTCAATCCGGACCGGCTCAAGGTTGACTCAGCCTTCCATCCTTCCGAGGAGGGTAAAATGAGGACCCAGATTGTTGGGGGCAAGAGGCTGACTCTATAAACCGCTTAGAGAGGGCTGCAAAGCCCTGTGAAGCAGTATATAAGTAAGTACTATTGCTTGGGAAGGAAGGAAAGAAGGAAGGAAGGGAGGAAGGAAGGTGCATGCACTGGTTAAAGTACAGTATTATAGGCTAATTCTGTTGACTGCCAGCAGTTCAATCCCAACCAGAGGTGGGTAAAATGAGGACCCAGATTGTTGTGAGCAAGAGGCTGACTCTGTAAACCGCTTCGAGAAAGCTGTAAAGCACTGGTATATAAGTCTTAAGTGCTACTGCTATTATGTTAGGAAAAGCCAAAAAAAAAAAAAAAGTGTTTGCAAACCTAGTAAAATAATGCTACTGGTCATTTGCACTTTTGCAAGGGTAGTGGAGGAGAGGCAAACCCCAACCCTCCCACCCGCATCACACCAGCCAACAACACACGTTTGTCTGAAATGGTATATAGGGTTTCTTGCCTAAGCAGGAGGTTGCACTAGAACAGGGGTGGGCAAATATGGCCCCTTTATGACCTGTGGACTTCAACTCCCAGAATTCCTGAGCCAGCTTGGCTGTCTCAGGAATTCTGGGAGTTGAAGTCCACAAGTTGTAAAAGGGCCACAGTTTGCCCACCCTTGGACTAGAACAGGAGTCTCCAACCTTGGCCACTTTAAGACTTGTGGACTTCAACTCCCAGAATTCCTCAGCCAGCCATGCTGGCTGAGGAATTCTGGGAGTTGAAGTCCACAAGTCTTAAAGTGGCCAAGGTTGGGACTAGAAGACCTCTAAGGTCCCTTCCAACTCTGTTATTCTATTCTATTGTATTCTACCCGCTGATGTGCATCCGCTGCTCAAAGGCCAGGAACCCCCGCCGAACAAAGCAGCCGCTTCTGCTTTTGTTTTTTTTTGCAGCTGCTGCACCGCCTAACCAAGAAGAAGAGGCAAAGAAAAGAAAGGAAAGATTCGGGAGGGGGGGGCAACAAGACAGAGCTTGTTATGGTTACCAGGCGTCCAGACTATCCAGGATGATCCCGTCCTCCTCCGGCCGGTAGGGATGAAGAAATCTCGCGATACTTAGGTAGATCTAAACAAGAGAAGGCGGGCGACTCATAGACGGAAGCCATTCAAATCCCGACAGGAGGCAGCTCGGGAGTGACGCAGTCACCACCCACCGGGCCGAAGCCGAGAGGCGGTAAGCTTCGGTCATAAAAGCGCGCCCTGATCTGCTGACTCCTGATTGGTGCGTCAGAAAAAGGGCGTGGCCTAAAAGCCTATAAATACAGGGGCCCCTAGAGAGGCGCGGTTTGGTTGCAGGGGAAGGGCGAGGGTCGCTTTGGCTCTTGCTTTGCGGCAGAGGCTGATTTCTCCTCTCAAAACACCAATTTAGTGGAAGAGAATTTTCTCACCACGAGCCCTAATCGAAGCAGCCAGTACCGCAGAGGAATTTTGATTCTGTGTCCCAAACACTAGCTTGGCGGCCAGGATTTCCCGGGTCCCGACGGTAAAAACACCCTTTTCACTTGTACAGATAGATCCCCAGACCACAAACACGGGTTAAGATCGCGGTCGTCTGAATCGGGCGCTCGGTTTTTGCCATCCCGAGTCTTTTACTAACATACTTGGTTGCATTGACATTCTGCCCCTCCTCTCCCTTCCACGCCCCAATCAGCAGGGCGAAGGGCTTCTTTGCCGTTGAAAAAGCGCCGCGGTTCCTCCGGTTTGCTCCAACCGGAGTGGGATCCACGTAGATTTGGGGGGGGGGGCGGTCTTTCTGTTAAGCATTTAATCCCTCGACCGAGAGGTAAGATCGGGACGGATTGGAATGGCTTAAATCGCAATGCGGTGTGAGTTTAGGGATCCACCAGATTTGGTGGCTTTCCCTCCGTGGGGAAAAGATATTCTGAGCATACTTGTACCACCAGCTGCCCATCCTAAGGATGGAAAAAAGATCCGAGTAAGAGACGTGGGCATGGGTGAAATAAATTCACCCCCAGTGGTGCCCCCGGAATGATCCTGGTCCATCCTTACAGGATAATGGGGAAAGAGGGCTGTCTTTCCTATTACCAAATTCTTGGGTCACTTTTTCCCCGTTCTTTATTTCGATGGACTTGATCATTGGCTAAAGCTAGATTAGAGCAGTGATTACCAACCGGTGGTCTGTGGACCACTGGTGGTCTGTGAGAAAATTTTGGTGGTCCGCAGAAAAATTATATATTGCACTAAGGGATGTGGTGGCTCAGTAGCTAAGACGTTGAGCTTGTCGATCAAAAGGTCGGCAGTTCAGTGGTTCGAATCCCTAGTGCCGCTTAATGGGGTGAGCTCCCATGACTTGTCCCAGCTTCTGCCAACCTAACCGTTTGAAAGCACGTAAAAAATGCAAGTAGAAAAATAGGGACCACCTTTGATGGGAAGGTAACAGCGTTCCGTGTGCCTTTGGCATTTAGTCATACCGGCCACATGACCACGGAGACGTCTTCGGGCAGCGCTGGCTCTTTGGCTTTGAAACGGAGATGAGCACCGCCCCCCCTAGAGTCAGGAACGACTAGCACATATGTGCAAGGAGGAACCTTTACCTTTACCTAAATTGCACTAAATACTATTTATCTTTTTTAAAAAAATCATATTAGTGATGCGCGGGATTTAAAATTATGAATTTAGTGGTCCCTGAGGTCCGAAAGGTTGGGGACCCCTGGACTATAGCATTATCTGCTTACTATGCCTCCCCCAAAACCTTACTCCTAAATAATAATGACTTAATTAACTCATTGTTTTGATTAGGACTAAACACTGTCCCAAACTATCCGTACCCTCTCTGGATTTGTACAGCAAACTAATGTAATAATTTGGCTTAAAATCTAGAGCTGCTGGATTTTGAGTGACATATAAATTGAATAAGTTATGGATGGTTGCACAGTCAGTAAATTGTTGTGATTTCAGACTTTTGTTTGAATAATAATGCCTGTTCTTTAGTTGATGTTGGCCTTCATATGCATCTAGTTCTTCCCAAGAACCTAAGATAGGATGTCTTGGCATGGAGATCCAAATACCATGTAATTGACAGATGGAAATGTTGTCAATGCACATACTTTTTTTAGTGCAACATTTTTTGGTATGGCACCCAGTGTGCTGATAACTACCAGAATTAAATTATTATTATTGTTATGGTTAGTAGTACAGTAAGCCAGGTGTTTAGACTTGGATTTGGCATTTTTATCCGCCTGTCAAGTCCTTCCCAATGACGGGATAAGCAGATGTTGTTCTTATTTTTATTAATATGTGGCTGTGTCCCATGCTGTATGAACATAGCCATAAGGAGTTGTAAGGTAGTCCAGACTAGAAATGTACCCAGATGAACTACCGTATTTTTCAGAGTATAAGACACACCGGAGTATAAGACACACCTTAGTTTTTGGGGAAAAAAATAAGAAAAAAGCTGATTGGCGGGTGGATGGTCCGGGAATACCCGCAATCAGCTGTTCCCAGAGGTGAATTTTAGCAAGAGGTTCCTTGATTGTGAGCTCTGTGCCTTGTTTTTTTTTTTCAGCCTCTGAAAGCCTCCGAAACAGGCTTTTTTTCTGAAGCTTCTTTCTGAGGCTTTTTTCAGCCTCTGAAACCTCCGTTTGAGAGGCTGGGCGGGGCTACACTTGGAGTATAAGATGCACCGAGATTTTCACCCTCTTTTTGGAGGGGAAAAGATGCGTCTTATACTCCAAAAAATACGGTGGTTCTACTTTATTATAAGTTACAGTAAAAGAATCTTGCAAGTCTCAAAGTAGATTTCTCCCCCTCTCCTATACAGCCCAAGACAATGGGGAAAGTTCTTGCTGAGATGTTTACCATGTCCGGTTTTGTGAAGGGATAAACTGCCTCTTATCTAGCCTAATCCCCTGGCTGTGGTTCTTCCCCTTCCCAAGGTTATTTCCACAAACCATTACAGCAGTCTTTAAGGAGACTGGATAGCTCTGCAGACAAGGCACTGTAATTTAACACCAGCTGTCTGCAATTAAAGTAAGTTCGAATCTTGCCAGGCTCAAGGTTGACTCAGCCTTCCATCCTTTCTAAGGTAGGTAAATTGAGGACCCAGTTTGTGGGGGCAATAAGCTGACTTTGTATAAAATATACAAAAGTATGAAGGCTATTGCTTAACGCACTGTAAGCCGCCCTGAGTCTCCGGAGAAGGGCGGCATATAAATCAAATTTAAAAAAAAAACAAAAACTCCTCTCTTTTTAAGAAGTGGTAAAGTGGTAAAAACAGGATAATTGCTTATTACTAAAACTCTGATTTCTGCTACTTTTAACCAGGCAAAATGATGCACCATAGGGCAAGTTACTTTAGAACCAAAGTACTTCCAATGGGCTAACTTATATCCAAAATCCAGGATCCATGACTCCTGTGGAATTGAAATCTGACAAATTTTATAAAACATCTAATGACATAAGCATTATCATAAAGCAATTTATGACATAATGCAAAATGCTGTAAATTATTTCCTGGGCTGATGTTTGGCTGCTATACAGTTAAGCACAGGCTAAACAGATTTATGACATAATACAAAATGTCACAAAACAATTCCTGTGCTGATGTTTGACTACAGCTCAACATGGGCTATTTTCATACCAGCTTTTCCAGTGAAGGCAGTACAGCAGATACTCTCTCATTTTTAAAGACCTTGAAGAATCTGGTAAAGAAATATCTCTGAAATGCCCAAGTGGACTTATTTTCTTGTTGATTTGAGACAATGTTCTGCTGCCCATCCAAGCTGCTTCTTCAGTCTGAGTAGGCAGAGAATTCAGTTGCCATGACTCGGATTTCCGAACAATTCTACCTGGAAGACTGAGAATCTCCATCAACGTATTGCCACACACTTTGGGAAAGTTGGTGCGGGAATGCCCCTAAGAATTTTAGGAGTTGGCATGTTACACAATTCTCTGCCCACTCAGGATCTCCTGACCGACTAGTTCAGATTGAAGAAATTGCTTGGATGGACAATGAAGCATGGTAAACCAACAAAAAAATAAGTCCAGTTGCCATGACTCAATGCCAGATATCTCTGAAATGTTAACCCAAGTGGGCACAGGTTTTCTAGTTACAGCGTTTTCCCGAAACTACGACCCTGTCTTATATTTTTTTGAACCCTGAAATAAGTGCTTGGCCTTATTGCCATGCGCTCAAAAGCCCAATTGGGCTTATTATCAGGGGATGTCTTATTTTGGGGGAAGCAGGGTATTAGTCATTTTTGGTTAAGCATCATGCAGGGTGAATGTAACTAACTATAAGGTAGACGTTGTAAGGTCTTCTTTTGAGAAAGACAGGAGTAACAACAGAAGAATCGCTTTGGAATATACAGTCCTATGTTTGGTTTCTAAACAATGACTGATTCCTAAATTGCCTCTGCAATCTCAGAAAGCAGAATATAAAAGTAATGACCTCCCTCAGTTATGTTTTTCTAACATGTAAGTACCCAGCAATGCTATTGACTCCATCCATACATGGATATTCTGCTTGGGCAATATTGTTTGTTTGTTTGTTTGTTTGTTTGTTTATTTGTTTATTTATTTATTTATTTATTTATTTATTTATTTATTTATTTATTTTTCAAACTTCTATACCGCCCTTCTCCTTTCGGACTCAGGGCGGTGAACAGCCAAGATAAAAAACATTTATACATAAAAGTTAAAAAATAGATTTAAAATAATTAAATAAATTTGGCCCGTAATTTAAAACTTATCAATTAAAATCCATATCAAATTTTAAAACCAACCATAAAATCAGGACAGCCCGGCTAACTGAAAAAAATAGGTTTTTAGGGCCTGACGAAAAGTCCGGAGGTCGGAGATCACTCGTATCTCTGGGGGTAGATTGTTCCAAAGGGGGTAGGTGCCACCACAGAGAAGGCTCTCCCCCTGGGGGTCGCCAGCCGACATTGTCTGGCCGACGGCACCCTGAGGACGCCCTCTCTGTGGGAGCGAACTGGCCGGTGGGAGGCAATCTGTTAAGAGATATATTGAATATTCTGATGTTTTGCAAATGAATTGATATATACCAGGTTTTTGAATTGTGACCCTTATATTGATCCTTCATATTGTTTTTGGGGAAACACAGTCCTTTGTTCAATCTCTTCCCAAAATATTTTTTTTTTTACAAATCATGTTTTGCCCTTCCTTACTAGGCATAACTTTCAAGAAATAATAAGCTCACTATCATCATATTGTCACAATGGATTTGCTATTTTGCAATATGTACAAGACTGTGACTTCAGATTGCTTTTCTCCTATTTCTAATACAATCATCAAACATTTTGCAGTTCTCAGTAATTTAGTAATGGCATTTTGGCTGGCACCACATTTTCTTAGCCTTGCATGAAATATGTGTCTACTGAAATGTCCTATTAAAGAACTATTGGAAAGAAAAGGAACATTATGCTGTTTGGCATCTAAATTAGCCTTCCATAGTATCCTGCTGGTTTTGGATTTGGAAATTTAAATCTAACATATTTGGAGGTCATCAGGATGGAGAAATCTGCCCTAATATATACTCTCTTTTTATATTTTAGTTTTTCTTTATGTACACTGAGTGCATATGCACCAAAGACAAATTCCTTGTGTGTCCAATCACACTTGGCCAATAAAAGAATTCTTTTTTCTCCCTGTGCCACAAATTTTATGTTGTTGAAAGACATAATTTAGACAGCGTTCCATTTTTGTTAAATTTGATCCAGATAACGAGCACCAATAATTTTAGTTAATCTAGGAAGATAAAGGAGCTGAACAGCTCTGTTAAGATTCAGTATGTTTCTGATTGTGATAATGAAGTGAAAATGACATCTTTCTCTGTTTCTGAGGTAGCTAATGCCTGACCAAAGTTGGTGCAGTGCTCATCTAATAGAATAACAGTTGGAAGGGACCTTGGAGGTCTTCTATTCCAAACCCCTGCTCAAACAGGAAACCTTATACCAGAGGTGTCAAACTCACGTCGTCACATGACGTATCACAACTTTTCCCCCCTTTGCTAAACCGGGAGTGGGTGTGGCCTGCGTGTGACGCATCCGTCCCGTAGGCCTCGAGTTTGACACCGCTGCTGCCCTATACCATTTCAGACAAATGGTTGGCCAATCTCTTCTTTAAAACTTTCATTGTTGGAGCACCCACAACTTCTGGAGGCAAGTCGTTCTATTGATTAATTGTTCCCACTGTCAAGAAATTTCCCCTTAGTTCTAGGCTGCTTCTCTCCTTGATTAGTTTCCATCCATTGCTTCTTGTCTTGCCGCCTGGTACTTTGGAGAATAGTTTTACTGACTTCTTCTTTGTGGCAGCCCCTTAGATATTGGAGCACTGCTATCATGTTACCTCCATGACTCGGGAAAATGTAAATATGTGACAATAGGTATTGGAAGATTAGCTACAAATAACTGGATCCAGGAAGATGTCGTAGTTCAGCTTTATAGGCGGCATCTCTGAACTATTTTTGATAATACTGCTGTTAATATTGTGATGAATAAGAAACTAAAGAGATGAGGCAGATTTTATTTTATTTTTCTTTCAGCCAAGTACAGCTATTGGAAGATAAAGAATCATGGAAGTGCTACGGCCAGTACTGATAAGAATTGACGGGCGTGTTTATAGGAAAAATTTTATTCAAGAGCAAGCTCACCAACAGGAAGAAGAGGAAGATTTTAATACAGGTATAATCACTGCTCTACAGGATCACTTCATTTTTATTTATATTTTGTTTTACCACCCCCCACCCCCACCCCCAATGGTTTGGCAGAAATTGCTAAACTGTTCCACTGCTTTATTTTGGTTTCCTAACCTAGACCTTAGACCCAGGCACATTTTCCTCTTTAATATTTCCAATTTTGCCATCTTCTTTGCACCTTTTGTTAACTTCAGATTGAACTAAACCATAAAATGTACCCATTTCCTCTTCTTCTGAATCAGCAGTTAGAGTAAAAACTTGGATAAGAGTCACATGAAAGGCTAATGTCAACGTTCTGAGTAATGCACCCATTGAAAGCAGAACTCTGAGGCAGGCAGATTCCTCTAAGAACATTTTGTTAGATACATCATGGCATAGCCAGTGGAAACTGTTCTGTCCCCGTTCCACTCACGCACCCCCACAGACGGCCCAGAGTTAATAAGCCACACGACAAAATTCTTTGAAAATAAAGCTGGCAGCAACCCAGTGGCTAGCTGCCAATTCAGACTTTACTCATACAAAACAAAGATTAGACTGCAAGCATTCCAATAAAACAGGCAGAGTTTCAACAATACAAGGATTAATCCAAATGCAGTCCGATAAAGCAGGCAAAGTCCAGTAACGCAGAGATCATGGATTATTTCTAGTTTTTGCTCGTCACAAACTGAACCGGCCACCACACCCACATTTATACCCTGTGGGGTGTGGTCCTGTGACTCAGCTAATCTCTGGCACGCCTTCTCCTCTGCTGCGCACACTTCTCCCTGCGCCTCTGGCGAGGGTCCAGCCAGCACTTATTTCCTTCGTCGCTGTCCACCTGTGGCTGCGGGGACGTGCTTGGCTCTGAGCCTATCTTTTGGCCTTCGGTGTCCTCCGGAGGCATTGCCAGAGAGGAGGGTCCTGGAGAGGGAGGCCTTGCCAACTCCTCTTCCTCACTCTCAGAGTCTGCATCTGTCGATAGCCCAGGCTCAGGCAATGGAGCCACAACAGAAACCAACTCTGAAGGTTCCCATGCCAATTATTTCTTCATTACAAACACAAACTTCCGACTATCAAAATGATGCCTGTGCATGTGGCTATCACCAGATGGAGTATGCAGAAATCAGATTGACTATCTTAGAGGTTCAAGGAGGTAGAAAAGTCCAAATTTAGAAGGAAATCCAGTTTAGAATTGGAATGCCAAAGGATGCCAATGGATAGATAGTAACTTATTCAACTTATTCAAATGAAAATGGAAGGGGTGGAGTGAAATTCTGGGCAATAAAGGTGTTAATATCTAAGATACGTTAAGAAAATATTGGTCAAGCCCCAGAGAAATCAGGAGATCCAGGCAGTTCAAATAGATAGAAAGATTTATTGCAGGCTTAAGCTCTCAACAAGAAGTTGAACTACTGACGGTCAAAGAAATTTGGCCGTGAGTAGTTCAGGAATTCCACGTCGGCTGGACTTAGATCTCTTGTGACCGTGAAGGGACTAATGACTGATGACGCATTTGACCCCTCCCTCAGGCTCAGCCTGGTCATCTCCTACAATACTCCATGCTTACAAGAACCTTTGGTACTAGAAAATGAGGTTATATCAGCACTGCATTCATTTCCAAATCAAAAGACTTCATGAATTGATGGAACATCTTAAGGAGATGACAGATAAGAGAAGAATCAATAAAATTTCTATCTAAACGATAGTAGCAAATCCGGAAAAGTGACATAAAGGCCAAGAGATTGTTCACTCTACATATCAATACCAAAGGAGGGATGTAAGAGAGAGAATGCGAACTCTCCCAACAGTATACTTAATTTCACATGCTGGCAGAATATTAAAATAAGGATTATTAACCTTGTCTATTATTTATTTATTTTATTTCAAGGCTACCGCCAACATTCTGTAAATTGTCAAGTGCTATCGAAATACATTATATGTAAGGAAAAGTTATTTCCCCTCAACTTATCTGCTGAATTGCTATTGAATTAACGTAATTCAGTTTTCACATACGCAGTTTGGAAGATGATTTTTTTTTTTTCTGGTTGGTAGAAAAGAATAATTGCTGTGTTTTCTTTTTCAGCTGAGAATATTGACTATGACAATGAGAATCACTTTCCTTCCAACCGTCAGCTTTCAGAGACTGCATCTGTATCCTCTCTTCTTTTATGCTTTCTTAAATAGACATTTGCATCTGTGGCAGAATCCACTGAAAAGTTTCCCACAGAGTTATTTTGCGGCTTGTATTCGAAAGCAGATTAAAACAAAACACTGTTTGATTCACTACAGCAGCTGCTTATTGAAATGCCTGCAAGACTAAAATGTCAGTGTGATGGTTTTAAAAAGAGGTCCACAAAACAAAGCTGGTAGAAGTTCCCTCTATCCCAGGGGTGTCAAACTGGATTTCTTTGAGGGCTGGATCAGCATTTTAGTTCTCCGTGGGCCGGCCGGGGTGGGTGGGGAGATAGGACAGACGCCTCTTGCAGCACCCTGCCAGCCAAAACGGGGCATGGAGGGGGGGCACGCGAGGCTCCCCCATGCCCTGTTTTTGGCCTGGATGGCCTCCTGCAGCACCCTGCCAGCCAAATGGGGCATGGGGGGCAGGGGTGGGTTCTACTTACCTTTACTACCGGTTCACAACGGTGCCACGCGTGATGACGTCGGGGTCAGTGGGCGGGGCCTCCCGCCGGTTTTACTACCGGTTCTATAGAACCCGGGGGAACCCACCACTGATGGAGGGGCCACATGAGCACTGGCCAAAACAGGGTGTGGGGGGGCCGCACACGCTCCCCCCCCCCATTTTGACTGCCAAAGGCACAGTGAGCCTGTCCTTTGCTATTTCCAGGCCAGCCCTGTGGGCCAGATTTAAGCAACCTAAGGGCCGGATGTGGCCTGCGGGCCTTGAATTTGGCACCCCTGCTCTATCCCATCCCCTTAACAGTTTTTTTTCTTTAATTATCTGAGAAATGAGATGGCTGGACCATCTTGGTAAATGACTTATTATCGGCTCATGTTTTATAGGTCTTGGAGATGGCTCAGACGAACCCTGTGACGCATTTGCAGTAGAAGAGACAGAAAGAGGATACCAATGTGCTATGGACGTTCCTAGTCCACTATATAAGTGAGTTTGAGGGAATATAATCACAAGAACTGCATGCAGATGGGTATCTCCTGCTCTAATGTTGACAGAAATCCCTTCTCTACCTATGCAAAGATGATAAAGGCTAACAATTCAGTCTCATGGAGCCCTGGTGGCGCAGTGGTTAAACCAATCATAAATGCCTCTTTCCTGGTTTGTTTTTTATAAATGTGCTAATTGTAGCTTCGAGCCCTGGTTTGCAATGTAATAATGATGTTTGGCCACTTTTTTATAGAGGGAAGCCGTGGGTGAGTGATCAAGTAGCAGGTGCTAGCAAGCTTGCTTATTTCTAATCAAGTTACAATATTGGAAATATTGTATAAATATTTCCAATACTTACAATATTGTTATTTTATGGAGCAACAGCCACAGTGTTCAGTGTGGCTCACATTTAGGGAAAGGATAATATGATTGCAGCCTAAAACGCATTTAGCATCATCATCTTTTTATGTTATTTTACGAGAAAATTAACAGCAACAAAAAGCTTAAATGACTGATTTTAACAGATAAGTGCATTATAAGGTTTTAAAAAATGCTTTAGCTTGTTTGATTTGGCCTTTGTTCCAAACCACTTAGACTGCTTATTTAATTTTGACCATTGTTTCTCACTGCGGTTCTTTGTTGACGATTATGAGCATTACAATGAAAGCTTGTTACAATACACTTATAATCAATCCGTCTTTCCTTGCATCGCTCACCAACGTCCACTCGCAGCGACCACCACTTGGGGATGGGCAGCTTGAGACTACAGAAGACACAGCCTTGGTCAACAGTCAAGATGTCTTCTATAGTCTCAAGCTGCCCACCCCCAAAGGGTGATGCACATCTTTTAGTGAGGTTGAGGACAAGCGATCACACTACATGCCAAGACAGCACACAAATATTTTTTTTATTAACTCCCTGGTTTTATTAGGACAATAAAGCCAAGTCTTACCTAAGCATTTTCTCACATACACACACCGTTTTTCTCTCCCACATACTTGGTAAAATGCTACCTAGAAAGTGGTCAGTGAACCTGAGAGGAATGGAGGAAATGAGCCACAACCACTTATTTTTTCCTCCAACCAGTTTCCTGTTCGCCCGTTTTCCTTTCCACCTCATTTGCCTCACAGTTGTTGTCGCGGAGATAAATAAGTCGCCCTTGAGGTGCAGTTTTGGATTCCAGATTGGTTTGGTTTCACATAGGGTCCCTCACTAGGCCTTTGCAAGACCACAGGCCCATCCAAGACTACATTTCTCATATTGCATTATGTTTGTTGGTTTGTTTCCTCTGTTCGTTGTTTTTTTTCTGAAGCTGCCGCCGATATGCCATGTCACTAAATCCACGTTGCTAAATTTATGGAGTCTATCAATTTTACAACCAGCACATAATCAATTACAGCATTCCCTGGCTTTACTTCTATTTCCTCTAATTGGTGGAAGGGGAAAAACAAAACCTTCTCATGCTTCATCTACCAACTAATAAATTTTTAGTTCAGTTTAGTTTACTTTATTCTCATTGCACCTCGTACAATGAAATTAAATGCCGGCTTCAGTGTACATTATACATAAAAAAAATAAAATAAAAACATGCATCTTTCACATTCTGTACAATTGAATTGACAACCCTTGTTATTGCATTAATATTGCACTATACCGTAGAATTCAATATGGTTATTGCCCTGGGATAGAAGCTGTTTTTCAGCCTATTTGTCCTTGTTTTTATTGTCCTGTACCATCTGCCAGATGGTAATAGTTCAAAAAAAAGGGTGCCCAGGATGAGATGGATCTTTAAGAATGTTTTGAACTTTCTTAAGGCAGCGGGAGCTATAAAACTCTTCCAAAGAGAAGAGGAGTAACCAATGATCCTCTGGGCAATGACGTTAACCTTCTGGAGCGCTGTCCTACCTGCCACTGTGCACTGTGCAAATGTGGTATAAAATAATTTGTAAAGCTTGAATTTAACACGATGACTGCCTGTCACAAGCTACATTTTGGGTCCCAAGGATTTGGATGTTGTGAGAACTATTGTGCCTATTAAGCTCTTCCATTCCATAACAGAGAGGACAGTTGTTTTTGTGACACAGGAAATCATTTAATACTAATTAAGCTTTTTAACCTAAGCGCCTTTTTCTTCCTTATCCCACTCAAATGTTTTTTTACAGGTATATAATAGGAAAGAAAGGAGAAACCAGGAAAAAACTGGAGACAGAAACACGAACTTCCATCAGTATTCCCAAGCCAGGGATAGAAGGAGAAATCGGTAAGATTTTGAGCTTGCAAAAATGAATACACTTCTGAGTTTTCATATGCAGGTTACATAAAACTAAGAAATAATATATCCTGGTATGTTTCCCCGGAAGTAAGACTCTGTCTTATATTTTTTTTGCCACCAAAAAAAAAGGCATCAGATCTTATTTTCAGGGAGTGGGAATGTCGTCCACTGATTCACCTCACTTGCGTGCATCGCCTCAGCCACCTTTTTGCTATCAGAGGCCTTCAGGAACTTTTTCTACAGCCAGCAAGGCAGGTGTCGGGGTGTGCGAGGTCTGGCTGCAACTGTCCGAAGGTATTTATTTATTGTTTATTTATTGGTTCGATTTATATGCCGCCCTTCTCCAGAGACTCAGGGCAGCTAAGCAATAGCCTTCATACTGTTGTATATACCTGCTTAGTAGGGCTTTCGACCCCCTTCCCAAGCGATGTTCTTTTTTATACAAAGTCAGTTTATTGCCCCCACAATCCGGGTCCTCATTTTACCTACCTCGAAAGGATGGAAGGCAGAGTCAACCTTGAGTCTGGTGAGATTTGAACTTGCAGTAATTGCAGGCAGCTGGTGCTACTTAACAGCACTTTAGTCTGCTGTGCCACCAAGGCTCATTTAAGTAGCATGCAGCTCCACCCCACCCCCATCCCTACCCTAGCTTAATTTTTACCCGTGCACCCTGGAGTGGGCGGGGGAGTCTTAATTAGGGCTTATTTTTTGGGCAGGGGTCAGGCTTATATTGGGCACATGTATAAAAAAATCAAGCTAGGACTTACTTTTGGGGTAGGTCATATTTTTGGGGAAACACGGTATGTGAAAAGAATATTTTACATTACCATATATGAGATGAGCTACAAAAGGGAAATTAAAGAAAGAGGATTTGTTTTCCATTCCATGAGAAACAAAGACTTTCCATAAATGGAGGCAGTCTTTCATTTCATAGAAAAAGGAATCTTAATCAATGACAATGAAACAGCTGTTATCCAATGTGCATCCTCTACTTCCCAAAATCCTTAGTTTACTTGCAGTAATTATTATCCCTTTTTCACTTCTTTTTCCTACTTCCAGTTTACTATAGTTATTTAAAAAAAAACAAAAAACTCCGATTTAAGATAACATTCCACCCAAAAGAGTCCTCACATACCAACCATTCATTTAGCAATCATTCGAAGTTATAGACAGGTCTAAATAAATAAATAAAAACTTCACAGCCGATTTACAACTTTCACAGTGCCTGGCTATGATGTGATCTCTATTATAGTCAATAGGTATTGTCCTGTGGTTTTTCCTTTTTTTCTTCCCGCAAAGCAGAGAGATTGGGGAGGAAGGGATTTCCAAAGAGTTTACTCTTTGGAAATCAAAAGCAATGTGTTCACACTGGTAGCCCAGGCCTGGGAACGGTGGGCACGCTGTGCCTACTGCTTACAATAGTCTCTTGAAATCCCTTCCTCTCCAATCTCTCTGCTTTGCAAGAGAGTGGGAGAAAAAAGGCAAGATGTAGGCAATCTTTCCTTTGCCTGACCTTACCCACCCACCCCCGCAGAGCATAGAGATTGGAGAGGAAGGGATTTCCAAGGAAATAAACTGTTTGCTTTTGTACGCATCTAAAGCAATGTAATCATACCGTTAGCAGGAAAGGATCAGGAGTGAACAGTACGTATGCCCTCTTAAATCTCTTGTAGGAAACAGGACAAACAAAGTTGGAATATGAAGATCAAAAAGTAAAGTTCTCTCCTCTAACAACGATTTACTCCTTCCTGGAGAAAAGCTCCTCACTCCATGCCTATGTTGTCCTTTGTTAACTTAGCAGCCATCTTGCTAATTGGGTTATGAGTACAGCAAGTATTTGCTAGCTGCCTGCTATTCTTAGATTTCTGGAGGAAAATGGAAGCACATTAGCATATATCCTGTCCTATTATTTTCCTTCCTTTCAGTGATCACAGGACAACATCGGAGTGGTGTTATTTCCGCACGGACACGAATCGACGTTCTCATTGAAAGCTTTCGTAAAAAACAGCCCTTCACACATTTTCTATCATTTGCACTCAACCAGCCTGCAATCCAAGCGAAGTTTTTACAATTCAAAGAGGAAGTGTTGGAGAAATGTTCCCATGTAAGTTTTCGTTATAATATTCGGAAACAGTGGAGTAGACAAAAAGTAACTAAACTTTCCTTTCAAGACCGTTACAAAACAGAAAACAATGTGTTAAGAAGTCTTGTTTGGCATATTGTTTCCTTGTTCCTATCTCACTTCTTCAGTATTTTCATTTTCTCTCAGTCCTCATACCTGTTTCCATTTTGGAATGAGAATATATTAGATAGGTCAGGGATCGGCAACCTTAAACACTCAAAGAGCCACAAAGATCCTAACCGGAAGCCCCCCCATTCAATTCTGGAGCCGACCGGAAATTCGGTTCCCTCACCGTAGAGTCTCCCCCTAGCGCGGCATCCTTTTTCTTCTACTTGTCCTAACCGAAAGCCCTATCAACTGTGGAGCTGATGGGCAACAGGGAGCCGCAGCAGAGGGATGAAAGAGCCACATGTGGCTCCAGAGCCACGGGTTGCTGACCCCTGAGATAGGAGAACCATAATGGAAGTGCCGATAATTATTTTGCTTCCACGAGAGCCTTTGATGATAATAGTTCCTGGATTGTGTGTGCTTAACCCCTTGATAATAAGAGCAGAAAATTAACTCATTGAGACAAGGATAATGTGAGGCAGAGAATTAATTCAGTGTAGTGATTAAAGCACCTGGTTAGAGTTTGGGAGGCAGTTCTAGTCTTACCTTAGTAGCAATAGCACTTAGACTTATATACTGCTTCATCATGCTTTACAGCCTTCTCTAAACAGTTTACACATTGCCCCCAACAGTATATGTACTATATGTGTTTTAAGTTTGGCTGTCCACCGCCCTGAGTCCCCCTGGGGAGAAGGGCGGTATATAAGTTGAATTAATAAAAAATAATAAATAAATGTGAACCAGTTGCCAAGTGCCTGAAATAAGGTCCCTGGACTGCAAGGGGGTGGGCGGGTGGGGTCAAGGCAGTGTTTTACAACAGCCAGATGTGCTTTGCTAACCATCATAGCTTTGAGTGGGGATTGTTAAATGACTAGTCATAAATCAAGGGATACCTGTAATTTTGGACATGTCTGTTATCTTTTGTATTCTATCAGTCAGGGCATTAAAAAACTCGAGGCCTTCTCAGAGACCTTAATCTTCGGTTTCAATGATGATTATTTCCCCCCATATTCTTTTACTGCATTCAGGCTTTTTGTCAAATTACCGTAAGATAAAAATTAATTGAAAAATAGAGTAATCTAAATGCAAGGTAGCTCAATAAAAACCTTCGCTTAAAAGCCATAAAGCAGTGCAGTGCTTTTAGGGTAATTAGAAAGAAGTGCAAACAAAGCCTTTATAATCAAGAGAGGCTCCACGTTAAGAGACCAGTTCAGTCTGTCAGTAGAGAATGTCTTCCTTAAAAAAGAATCTTACCTGCTTGCCCAAATTGATTCTATTGAAATTCTTTGGCATGTCCGTGAAGAGAGGTGCAGGAAGAATATATATTTCAGTCTCAAACTGTTTCCCGTGGACCTCACTCCATTCTTAAGAGGTCCTGTAAAGAGGGCGTTCATAAGCGCACCAGACAGACTATCGTCCTGTCTTACTGTCCCCATTTATTTGTATTTATTTGTGTGTGTGTGTGTGTGTGTGTGTGTGTGTGTGTGTGTGTGTATGTCTTCTTAAGTTTTCGCAGGTGTGTATATGCAAAAAATTAAAATCTCGGGTGTTTTCCCGCGTCATGTTAAATAAGTTTAGGGATGATGGTGTGAGTGTGCATTCAGGTAACGATTTGTATGTGTCTTCTTGACAGGGTTGTGAGCCTGTCGAAACGTTGCTATAAGAAAAACTTTTAAGGTACTGGTAGGATTTTAGCTAAGGTTTTAAGGGACCTTGCAGAGTGCTCTGTAAAGATTTTTAGAAGATTTTAAGCTAGGATTTTAACCAGAATTTTAAACATTTTAACCAACTTATTTAACATGACGCGGGAAAACACCCGAGATTTTAATTTTTTGCGCACACACACACACACACACATATATGCTTGCTCCTGGGGAGGAAAGCTATGGCAAATCTAGACAGCATGCTAAAAAGCAGAGACATCACCCTGCCAACAAAAAGTGCATATAGTCAAGGCTATGGTTTTCCCAGTTGCAATGGATGGCTGTGAAAGTTGGACCATAAGAAAGGCTGAATTATGGTGCTGGAGAAGACTCCTGCAAGTCCCTTGGACTGCAAGGCGATCAAACCGGTCAGTCCTAGAGGAGATCAACCCTGACTGCTCTTTAGAAGGCCAGATCCTGAAGATGAAACTCAAATACTTTGGCCACCTAATGAGAAGGAAGGACTCACTGGAGAAGAGCCTAATGCTGGGAAAGATGGAGGGCAAAAGAAGAAAGGGACGACAGAGAACAAGGTGGCTGGATGGAGTCACTGAAGCAGTAGGCATGAGCTTAAATGGACTCCAGAGGATGGTAGAGGACAGGAAGGCCTGGAGGAACGTTGTCCATGAGGTCACGATGGGTCGCACATGACTTCACAACTAACAACAATATAATCAGATTTGGGTTAAAATAAGTGGTTAATTATGCATTGGGCCTTGATTTATTTTAAATTTATTTTTTGGTTTACGTACACTGCTCAAAAAAATAAAGGGAACACGAGCAGAAGACATCCGAGATCTGAATGAATGAAATAGCCTTATTAAATACTTTGTTCGTTACATACAGTAGTTTTGTGTTCCCTTTAGTTGTTTGAGCAGTGTATAAACTACTGTATGTAAAGAACAAAGTATTTAATAAGGCTATTTCATTCATTCAGATCTCAGATGTCTTCTGCTCGTGTTCCCTTTATTTTTTTGAGCAGTATATATAGAATAGAATAAAATTCTTTATTGGCCAAGTGTGATTAGACACACAAAGAATTTGTTTCTGGTGCATAAGCTCTCAATGTACATACAATAGTGATAGATCATTAACATAGTCATCCTAAATACATTCATCATAAAACATCAGATATAACACTTAGGGATAGTCATGGATACTAAATAAACAATCAACATAAATCATACTAGGATACTAAGTAAACAATATAAATTGTAAGATACAAGCAACAAAGTTATAGTCATAAGAAGATAAGGAGATAGGGAATAGGAAAGATGAGAATAATGATGGAAATACTGCCTTTTTAGATAGTTTGACAGTGTTGTGGGAATTAGTTGTTTAGCAGAGTGATGGCATTCGGGGAAAACCTGTGCTTGTGTCTAGTTGTTCTGATGTGCAGTGCCCTATAGCATCATTTTGAGGGTAGAAGTTGAAACTGTTTATGTCCAGGATGCGAGGGGTCTGTAGATATTTTCACAGCCCTCTTTCTGGCTCGTGCAGTATACAGATCCTCAACGGAAGGCAGGTTGGTAGCAATTGTTTTTTTTCTGCGGTTCTAATTATCCGTTGAAGTCTGTGTTTGTCTTGATTGGTTGCAGTGCCAAACCGGACAGTTATAGAGGTGAAGATGACAGACTCCATAATTCCTGTGTAGAATTGTTTTATCAGCAAGTCCTTGGGCAGCCTGAGCTTTCTGAGTTGGCACAGGAAGAACATTCTTTGTTATGCTTTTTTGATGACTTTTTTTTTTTTTTATATCTGTAAGGTTTGGGGAAATTTTCATCTTCTGAAAATTTATTTACTATCTTCATTGGGGGCTATGCAGGGTGTCACCAGAGGGAGCATTTTTGTCCCTTCTCTTTATGATATGACCCCTCCAGACATTAAGAGCATGTCTCTAAAAATGTGTTATTTCTAACTGAGGTTTTCTAGTATCTGGATCTAATACAGGGCATATGCACCAAGGCAAATTCCTTGTGTGTCCAATCACACTTGGCCAATAAAAAATTCTCTTCTCTTCTCTTCTCTTCTCTTCTCTTCTCTTCTCTTCTCTTCTCTTCTCTTCTCGGGCTTTTTCCCCCCATGTACTTTACAAGGCTCATTTATCATTTCATTTTGACCTGGATTGGGGCCTTTCCAGTGAAATTTCTGCATAAATGATCTTGTGGGGTTCGTTGTCTACTTTTGATATAAACAAACACCAGTCAAAACTCCCAAGAGAAAACAATGGTAATTTTATTTACTACTTTGCACAGAGGGTGCACCACGCACACGCAGGTACAATGGACACACCTTAAATCATCAATATGTTTTCTTTATATTCCCTGTCATCGTTGCAAATTTACCTCCCACCTTTTTCCTCATTGGCTTAGTACTCATGCCGTCACAACCTATCCGAAGTGTCTAAAGTGAATACATTATCTCCGCCCCATTACATCTCCCATTATTCTAATTCTATCACTCCCTGCTCTTATTTTGAAATTACCTTTTACAGTCCTAGTTCCTAGGGGTTTTCTCTAGAGAAACGACCATATCAGCAAATAATGGTTAAGACTGATTTCTAGCATAACAGGGGCCTTCCTACATACAATTCACAAGCTTCAACCTATCTCATGAGATTTAGAAATGTATTCAGTGCATTTTCTTCACAGGATAGCATGTCTTCTTACAATTCTGTAAAAACAATAGGTTCTGTTTCCCAAAATCTACAGCAAAAAAAAAAATCAGGAAGGCAGTTATGAATTACGTACGTCTGGCACAATTCCAAACCAAGCCAGCAAAAGAAGAGGCCACACTGTGAGTAGAATGGGTCTCTTTACTGGAGTCTCAGCATGGCACATGGTGAACAGTAGAGTAAAAGGGTTTTTCTTAGCCAGCATTACTGGCTTCTGCTAGCCAACCTACTGGACTCAGCACGCTCTGCCCCGCCACCCCCCTTGATTGCTCCCTGGCCGGCTCCAGCAAGTACTTTTTTGGCCCGGCTCCAGTAAGCACTCTTCAAGCTCGGTTGCTCTCTGGCTGGCTCCAGCAAGTCCTCTGCAGACCTGGATGGCTTCTGAACTGACCGCAACTGGCTTGCCTTCCTGGCTTCTCTCCCAGGGTGAATCCCATCACCCAACACCCATCTGTGGCCCTAGGGGTGAGTTCTACTTACTACTGGTTTGCAATGGG